TACATCCTGGGTGTGTGTCTGTCACCTCACCATGTACAATCATTTCCAATAGGTCCTCACGGCCAGCTGCATATAAAGTATACCTTGGATTACACAGAGAACGAGCATCAGAGGCATCAGTGCAAAAACGAGATGTTGAGAAATTGTTCAAGGAGCCACACAGGACGGACATTGCTCTGCTAAAACTGAGCAGGTACCCTTTCACCTGAAGTGTTCCTTCATTCTGATGGGACAAGTTGACTAAATAGTGGTGCCATGGAAATGTGTGTTTCTGTACACACTGTGTTCAATCAGCCATTTCAGACCCTCTCTTTCTTCTCTTTCTGCTGAAGCTCCAGTGGAATCCAGGGTGATTCAGCTGCAGGGCTTCAGAAAGGGAAACAGCTGCCTTGGGAGGGGAGGAGGACTAGGGACAGTGACCCAGTCTGGCAATGTGCTGGGTGCCAGCTGCTGGGAGGTGAGGCAGAGGCAGCAGAGTAAAAGGTAATGCCTATAGGAGGTTCCAGTCTGTGTTTCTACATGCTTCTACCTTGGTAAGCTAAAGAGGATTGAACGCTGCAATATTAGCACGATGTCACCCCATATGGTTTCCATGCTGTGGTGGGGAGATTTCTTCCTCCAACAGGTCTGTCCAGTGGGCAGGCAGACAGTATGCACGTATGGCCCTTCCTGCATCTGCTTCCATTCATCTGAAACGCTCGCCGAGGCACTGTGCAATCAAAAGGAATACATCCACACAGCTGCAAGCAGATGTGAACATATGGTGCTTGTGATTTGATTTCTGTGGCTACAATGCAGGTCCAAAACAGATGCAGGGTCAGCACAATTAATGTGGCTTCTTAATTAAGCTTAGCCTTTGCTGCAACCAAAGGCAAGTCAGACTGACTTGGGTTCTGCTGTGTGCTAGGTATGCAGTTTGAAAGGGATTTATAAGTAGTCAGACTGGATGCAGACAGAGCAAGCTAACACCTATGTGTTAAGTGCCTTTAATTCATGCCCCTAAGTAGCTTTGTAATTATGTTTTGTTGGTTATGCATTAGCCTAAGTCAAAACATTCTCTTGGATTTATGCTAGCAATCTTAGTATCAAAAACCTCTAACTTTTTTCCATTTCAGATCCTTTCATTTAGTGTATCACATTCTGAGTGATTAGAGCCTAAACCAAAAGCAGTTTTGCACATTAGAAAAACGCTTTACCTGAAGCTCAGTATTTCAAAGAAAAAAGGTTGACTGTATATAAAGTCTTTTTAAAAACCTGAAGGTGGTATCAGAGATAAATGTGCTAATGATTGTTCCTGTATGAGTCTCTTGGTTGTTTCTTTCAGCCCAGCAATCATCAATGATCATGTGATCCCAGTTTGTTTGCCAAAAGAAAATGCTGTGTTAGGAGGAAGAGAGGAGTGCTATGTGACGGGCTGGGGGGATACAAGAGGTGAGACATTAACACGTGAGATGTTAACACATCTGACAGCTCTGTGGAGGTTGGTATATACTTGTATCCAAAGTGTATTCTCTTTGTGCCAAAACCACCACACACAAGCTTCCATGCATTCCCATTTCATCAAAATCCATCAGGTATGATATTCTTTCCACTGTCTCCCTCTGATTTAGATTCTCCTAAATCACTCAGAACCATGTAAACTGAAACCCCCTAAACCAATACTAAAAGAGGAGGTCAGACCTAAGGAGCTGCTAACTCTTATCTCTCAGTCCACTTTGGTTTTCCCCAAAGTGGGCTTTTATGCAGTCAGGAGGAAACTTTTTCTAGATTCAGACTATTTTTCAATCACATGAAGGTGAGTTTGCTCATCCTCTTGAATGATTTTTTTCTTCCAACCAGCCTGGTTCAGAAGACCTTACACAAATATAATCATAACTCTCATTTTCAAAACCTCCCACTCTGTCTTGGTTGAGAAAGGCATCAGTACATTCCCTGCCTCCTTGTTTCTACCCATCACGCCATTTTCAGTTGTTTACTTCCTGCCTTCTTTCTTCCACAGAGAAAAAAACTCTGATACAGAGAAATAAAATGGCATGGGAATGGCTCCCACAAATATCAGTGGCTACTGGCTCCATACAGATGTACTGTGGGAGCAAGGTCAATCAGTGCAGCGTGGATTTTGATGGGTGGTAGTGGGTGATAAGTACCATGATACTGATAATGCTTACTGATTTTGGTATCACTTCATATTATGCATGGAAAGTATATGCACAGTGCATAAACACTACACTTATTTTACTGCTTATCCATATCTCAATGTTTGTCTTGTGAAGGTGTTCATTTATCTTTGTCATTTATCATGTTTTGGTTTTGTTTTTATTTGCAAAGGAACTGGTGGTGATGGCTACTTAAAGGAAACTGGTTTCCCTGTAATTGAGAATAAAATATGCAACCGCCCTGAATTTTTGAATGGTAGAGTCAAAAAACATGAGCTCTGTGCTGGAAATATTCATGGTGGCACAGATAGCTGCCAGGTAAGGAAGTCTGTGAGCATCAGAGTTGGTGTTAAGCACATTCAAATCAAATAGTGCTCTGGTTTCTGAGGCTCAGAATTAAACTTGGGATGTTGCCACACCACATGGCATATGAACAGAAAAATGCACATGGATTCTGCTCTTTCCTTGCTCCCTTGTCTGCTGCTAGGAAGTGGGGCAGGTAATTTTTCAGATAAGCCTGAGCTACAAAGCACATGGTAATACATGGCTGCCCAAGCCAGGTCTATGGAAGCCAACTTAGAATGACTAACAGTCTGATTTTTATTCCCCAGACCACTTTGCCTCAGTTACACTAGCACCAATGTCCAATCTAGCTCAGTTAAAAACCTGAGAGATTTCTGTTAGCAGTCAAGGAACAATGCAGTGAAGTCTGCCATGCAGTCATACCAATGGCCAAAGGAACTACTAATTTCCAAGTATCAGTGCCAGTACCTGTGAAAATCACACTGGGTGAAGCAAAATGCATGCTGGACTTCCCTTTTGCTGAAAAGGAAGAATATGGTTGGCAATAGTTCATCTCTCAAGTGTGGTATACATGCTTTCTCCAGAAGTCTAGGTTTTGAAATTGAGTTCTTCAGTTCGTTTAAATATATAAAAGGGCTCATAAAAGGTTAACATCATGAATCAGGATGGGAACTTTCCTCCCTGAGAAGCTAAAGATGACTTTTTAAAGAAGTGTGAAAACTGCAGACTGTCTGCCCCAGCTGTCAGGCCAATGCCATTGCCAGCACAGCACAGATCCTCTATGCACAAGCACTGTGGTGAGCAAGCAGGCCATTGAAGGGTGTGCGTTCATGTCTTAAGACACATGGCTTGAATGCTTGCATTCACTTGTTCTTGGATCATCTAGTAACAACAGGAAACTGTAAAGACCTGAGAGAAGAGGCTGAGGAAGTGCTGTTTAAATTACTAAAGGCAATCCGATTCCTTCTCACCAAATCCCCTTATTTCAAATATAAATGTAAGACTTGGATGATGGGAAGAAATGACTTTACAACAGTGTTCAACTACATGCATAGAGAACTATTGTCTGGTTAAAGCTCCAGTGTTTTCTTATAACTTGTGTGCTTCTCACACACGAGAGGTACTTCTGCTTCTGTGTGCCCTGTGAGAAGGCCACTCCTGCACATGGGGCTCTCTGTGAAGGTCTCATCCTGTTCTTTCTCTGTTTAGGGGGACAGTGGAGGACCTCTAGTCTGTCTGGACCAAGATAAATTTGTCCAACATGGAGTCACCTCTTGGGGTCTTGGCTGTGCACAACCCATGAAACCTGGTGTTTATGTTCGAGTTTCCAATTATATTCCTTGGATTAAGAGTACAATGGAAAACAACTGATCATGGGTATGGACTGCCCTCTCCTGGAAAGCAGTTTGCATGTTAGAAATACAAGATTACAGGTGCAATATTAAAGCTACAATCATCTGTAAGAAAGTAAAATAAATATGATCATCCACTTTAAATTGTTATAAATTAAGAGTTATTTTCAAGAAACCCAACTGATGGTGTGTTACACTCTTTCTATATGTTCTATGGTTTGCTATGTTTGACAATAGACTTACCCACCTCCGAAACACATGCCAAAAATCTCAACCTCAGCTGTAACTGGACATCTGCTTTTCAGTCTTATATTATGCTCTACAATGACTTTTTCTTCTAAGGTTGACTTTCCCAAGCTGTTGTGTTTCCAATAAATGAAGAAAGGAGAATATTTCTCATTTTCTATGAGTTGTCTAAGCCTCTTACCAATTTAATGATACAAAACAAAGAAGAATCTTACTGTACATGTCATATACATGTGAAGTTTTATTAGATACGACCAATAGCATTAAATACACGGGATTAAAACAAAAAGAAGCAAACACATTTGGTTTGTATTTTCATATTTTTTATTGATGTGGAAATCTGTATGTCAGCAAAAGTACAAATATTGCATCAGAGATATAAAACGGTGAATAAAAAATAGCCTCACCCTAAAGTCAGTCCATAGTGAAAATAGAGATATAACTGTCAATCATTACAGCAAGTAATGACAATGTGTTTAACGTTACAAAATTTTGTTGTCCATAGTACACAACCTGTTTCACTATATAACTTTATCCCACTATATAACTGTTACATGTACATTTTTCTTGTTTAAAAGAAAATCATGTACACATGCCTGTGGTTATAGGACGTGAAATCTTAGACCTTTAGAGACATCCTCCAAGGAAAGCTTGGCTCACACTCACCACAGTGAAACACTTCCTAACTATGAACCCCTGCTCTCATCCTGCACCACTTGCATATCAGCCAGGGAGCACCCCACAGGCGCCTGGGGACCCCAGCTCTGCATGGACCCCTTCCCACACCCTCAGGGTGTGCTGAGTGTACCCCAAGTAACACGGCTACTTCCTGGGCTGGGATTTGTCTCGCCCACTTTCTGCAGTGCAGAGGTCCACTCGAGGCATGCCACGCTGCATGTCATTTAATTTAAATTGTCTTTTATTTTTTGTGTGCACATATATACAAAAGGGGTGGATTGCATCCTAGGAGTTGTTTTTTTGGTTTTGGGTTTTTTTTTCCTCCCATAGGCTATAAAGGGAGATACGAGCTATAAAACAGAGTTAGGTGGCAGGGTGATTTTTGCAGCTTCTACACTTCAAGTATGATTCTGGGAGAAGTGATGATCTCAGGGTATTGTCTTCCTGAGTAGGAACAGCTCTGCTAAATCATTCCCCACCCATCTGGGAGGGGGGGGGTGTGCAATTCACTGAGCACAAATACCCTCCTGCATCTTTTCTGTATCTATTTATTTGGATCATTAAGTCAGCCAAGAAATATGCACAGTACTTCCCTGACAACAGAAATTCTGTGTTGCAGCTTGGTCTTTGATTTGTAAAGCTTTTCAAATGTGAACTCCTGAAGACATGGTTAATACTTGACTTGTAAGCAAACAAACCTACTCCTGATGTCCTTGCCAAACCCACCAGAGATGCCTGGACACACCTGAGCAGCTACAGAAGTCCCACCTCATAACCTCTTGAAGTGTGTAAATTGTGATCTTTTCCTTCTCTGAGAGTGACAATGGCAATAAATATTGCCATCTTGCAAAATCCCTTTGTTAAGGGTAAGAGTTAACACAGGAGTTATTACCAAATACAAACTCTACCTGAAGTTGTTAAGTATTATCATATTAGAAGTCAGAACATACACAGGCTTTTTCCTGCTGTCCTTTACATATGAATTTTTAGAAAATAAATGCATCCGAACTTCTGACACGGCTCCTAGCCATTTTACATATTGAAATATTTCACTTATATTCTCTTCTGAGCAACATATGATGTTATGCAAAACAAAGAACAGTCTGAAAGGCCGGAAGCAAGTCTTCGTGTCTCTGAGTTCTCAACACATTTTAGTTGTCCACAAACAGCAGCAGCTGGCAAATAATATTGACATTTCTTTGGGAAGCTGTAGCTTTAGATGACCTCCATAGTCCTTCTCAGACTGCTGCAGTGTTTAAGAAAACAATTTTTAAAATTTTAAATTCACAAAGAAGAAATATTAAAAGGAAGAGGGAGGCCCAGCTCATACAGCGTTGCATGTGATTTCCTCAGCCTGGCTCTCGGGGGGCCGTGCCTGCGGTGCGGGCTGGCTGGGTACAAGGAAGGCAGGTCTGAGCTCTGCGGCCAGGTGCCCGCGCTCCCACTCTGCGCTGAAATGTGGCACCTGGCCGGTGCAAGCCCACAGCTTCCAGTTCAGGACTGGTGTCTGCCAGCCAGCCTCAGGGAGTTTACAGCTATCTGCAGAAGACTGGTTGGTGTAGGAGGAGTTTTCTCCCTGCAGCAGTAGCTCCAGTTTTGGGTTGTCTTCTAGATACCACCAATTAGCCAGATATATTATGAGATGCTCATTTAGTTTCATATCTTTCAATCACTACTGAGTTTTGCTAAGCATCCCATCGACCTTTAGCTATGCCTCAGAGGAAGTTAGAAAGAGCCTTGAAAGACAGCCCTTTATTGTTAACTGCTGGAAGTATGCAAACATTAGACAGAGATTGCTCCTAAAGGTCCTGTTTTCCTCCAGCAGGGCTGGTGGTAGGGGCAGTTGCTGGGAAAAGGCAGGGAGGGTCGGGAACTGTTGAAATGCACAGTGTGCTCCACACCATAGAAAATCCCCCTGTGCAGGCACCTGCACATATGTGTTCTTAAGATGGTGAGACTGGAACGGTAGTCATTCAGCAGCACCGACTGTAATGTTAGCACTACTCTTTTGGGGTATGAACCTTCAAAATTCAGTCGTATAAGTGCTTATGCCAAATATGCTATTTCTGACTTTATAAGGCCATTTACAAGAGCTTATTGGCTTTCTTTTGTTTATTTAATTCTCTGTTGGTTACAGGATACCTTTTTCACACTACATCTTTTCAAGTCCTTCACTGTGATGTCTACTGTTTACCTGTCAGTGGCCAGGACCCAATGTTTGATGAAGAAGGTCACACAGCTGAAAGGAAAGGCAGGCTGTCCCTGCTATCTGCTCACAAGAGAGAGCAGGCAGAAAGTCCTTCCCTCAGAGTTATGGGGAAGCCTGACCAGGCGACAGGACGAAGGGGTGTCATGTGAACCCCAGTTGGGTCTGGGGGAAGCCACTAGTGGGCAGCAGGACAATCTGACCTGCAGAGCTAATGCCTTGTGTAGGATGTGACACCTACACAAAGACCTGCAAAGGAGAGGAGGAGGACTGCTGCCACATTTTAGAAAGCCCTTGAAGAGGGAGGGAAGCAGGGCTTTTGTGGCTGGGGGAGAGGAGCAGACCAGGGCAAGGGTCTCCTGATGCACGTCCCTGATTGCCACCTCTCCCAGAGAAAGAGCCACCCTGACCAGTATCCTCCTTTCTGAGCCACCAGATCTTCTATTTGTCCAGATTCTCCAGTGGCAAAGGAGAACAGGTTGAAATACTCATCTTCTCCTCCTCAAATTCATCCAAATCTTAAACAAGCAGTACTGTTTCAAACCATCCCTACTTAACGGTATATGCTAACAATAGAAATAAACAAATAGCTCAAATGTGTAACAAAATAAATAAGAGCTCACTGAGCTGGATAGTGCATCTTTTTAAAGCTGTTCTCTATCAAGAACCACAGAGTGCTCCCTTTCCTGCAAACAGCATACTCAGAAAAAAAAGTGAATTTATTCCATATTTATAGAAAAATACACTGTTTGTTTTAAATGTCCTTATGCTTAGAAGAAAAATATGGAGTTTAATCCATACTCTGCAGCAAATTTTGAAGTGGTGGCAGTTGGAGAACAAATTCCCGGTTTGAGAACACGGTTCTTTGCTCAGTGCTGTCCTTCAAAGGTCAAATATAAGAGTTGGTGTCCCGGTGTTTCCGTTTCTTGCCACATTTACCAAAATGACTGAACAAATAGAAGAGAAGAGGCATATAAGGGTGAAAGAAACAGGAAAATATGTAGTTCAAGTAGTAGTCCAAGCTGCAGTACTGAAACATTTATTTTCTGCATAGAAAATTTCCTCTTTCCTTAGTTTGTACATTGAAGCAGGCAAAAGTTGATGTAATATCCAAAGCCACTGCTTGAAACATTAATGTATAGTGCTGGCTCCTCAAGAAATTTACCCAAGGTGCAAATGTTCCCTGCATGCCTGCAGAGCAGTGAGGAGTCTGGTTTGCTCTGTGCCAGGAGGGGGAAAGCTGTGCCTACAATTCTTCAGCTATAAATTCATCTTGTACGTAGCTTTTCAATGACTTTACAACTTGTGGAAATGCTCCTATAATCAAGGGCCCTTCTTCACAGGATGATTTGATTGAGGTAGTGGCTGGTTTTCCCAAGCAGAGAGTTGCAGGCTATATTTTGCGGTATCTCTTGCACACTATTACTTTCTGCTTCTAGAAGTGCATAAGACAACTTTGTGTCTCTGTGAGAAAAATATAGATTCTATCCCCATACTTTTTTTTGGCAACTTACCTTAGTGGTACTGAAAAGTTCACATTTCTACTGAGTAAAATACCACCTGCTCATGACATCAACCTGACTGGGGAATTTACTTTGATACTTGGATAACATCACTAATTTATGACACCTCATAAGGTTGGAGGAGAATATCTCCAGGAAACCTCACCCAAGTAAAAGTAAGAAAATACTTATCATACCTTGAAAGCTGCTCCACATCCTCCACTGTCTCTGGTAAGGAAATTCCCTTTGTCTCTGGTAAAAGCAATACTAGGAGCCCACAGACAACTGCAAGTATACCTAAAATGGACATTGGAGAAATACAAAAGCAGTAAGAAAATTGTTACTTTTCTTATTTTCAATATTTATCCACTGAGAAAAGTTTATTCAGCTTAAGGTTGAAATGAGATTTTTAGAGTGCAAGAGCTATTTCTGACTGCCCTACTCTTATTAAACACCTTTACAATACATTAATTTAACCTATTAGAAAAAAGAAATTGAGGGCCAGGGGTTCATTTGTAGCCTGAATTTCCCCAAAATGGAGATCTTGGAAGTCAAAAACCTGAGATAAGTGCACAAGGGCTAGTGCATACAAACTGCACTGGAACCAGGATGGTATTTCTCACATAAGACATATCTGCCTTTGTTCAAGGGGCTCTATCATGTAGATTCATCTGTGTTTCTTGAAATCGTTGAGAAATTCTTGAAATACTCTCTTTTTGTATCCATGGACAAAGTAGATTATGTGATTCAGAATAAAAATTCATCCTTGGGAAAGAGCACTCAGATACAGAGCCAATCTGAAATAGTTCATCAGGAATGGTTATTCTGGAATAATACCCTGCATAGATATAATTTAAATAAGTAAAAAATAGAAGGGCTGGAGAAAAATGTAAAATGTTCCCTGACTATTGCACAGTCTTTTCTGATCCTCTGATTTTGTAGCTGTTTACTCGAGACAGAGTAAATTCATATGTCCTTCAGCGGCAGCAGAATTTCAGGATTAGATAATGTGAACACTGTAGCTCTATACATGTCTATTCTTGGAATAATGGTAATCTTTTAAAATTACTTCTGTCTTTCCATTTTTTCTTTCAGATAAAGCTGTCATTAGCACCAATCTCCCTTCTTATTCTATCCTATCCCTTTTGCTTTTTCCCAGTCACGTGTATCTCCTGGAAGTCTGGTTAGCCACAGACTCTCATTTCCTTGTTGGAAATAACTCCACAGGGGCATTTTTTTTTCCCAAAATGCAACTAACGAAGAAATTTTGACAGGAAAAGAAAATTACGGTTAATACAACATCCATAATTGTAACTTTATTTACCAAAAAACCCAAACCAAGTATTTTTTAAAAGAACATTAACCTCTACTTTTTGGAGACTAATCTTACTTCTCTACAATTAAAGAACTTATCTGGAAGCACCTCACATAGTTTCTTTTATGATCTTTCTGCCAAGTTACCCAAGCAAACTTGAGGTCTTTCATTAGCATGCCATGAAATCTCCCACATTTCACCCATTTGTTGTTCAGCTTCTTGCTCTAGGCATGAAGGTTGAGAGGGGCTGGTCTGAAGGGAGATGAGGCCACACGCTACACTTTTGCCCCAAAAGAAAAGCTCTGTTAGGAGAAGGATATTTAAACCAAAAGTACATTTTAAATCAAATCTTACTGAAAATAATTAGAGGTAGCTCCAACCAAATGGCTGCTAATCGGAAAAGCAGGAATGGGGCTATGATCCCACCTAGGTCACACAAACTCGAGCACAGGGAAACACCAAAGTTTCTGCAAAAGAAAAACAGTGCCAGATATTTGAGACGTGCTACCAAACAGATGAACCAGCAGTTTAAGGACTAGAATGTAAACTTAGCTCCAAAATTATCTCCTCAGTATATGCCATCCACACTGAGCAGTAGACATTCAGTTAGAAAACTCTGGAGAAAACCAAGTTCTACTCAACAGTGGTGAAATAGGGAATGGGGAAACACATAGGGAAAAGTTGAATGATTCCTGGAAGCTTCTGACATACCTCAATGTCGTAGGGTACAATTCAGTGTTTACAAGATAGACAATTTCAAAAGCCATTGTGATGCCCAGTCTTCCCAGAGTGGCAACTGTTGTTTTGAGCCATGGAATATCTGTTAATTCAAAAAGAAACTCAGGTGGAGTGTGTTTTGCTGCACAAGCAGAGCATTTCCAAGAGCCCCGGGCCCTGTCAGCAGAAGCTACATCACAGAAACACTGGATCAGTGTAAATCAGACTGAAAGGTCACTGCTGTAGATATCAGTCTATACTGGTGTTTATTGCTTTCCGGCATCATGCGAAACTGCTTTGGAGAATCAACAATCACTTCTAGTTAATTGATTCAAGATGCTGGTGAGGCATAACAACATGGGTGGGAAAATTAATGTTATAAGCTTCCATGACCGTGACCAAATTGTGCTCTGGAAAGGTGTATGTATTTATATAGGGATGTTATGCTGTAAAAAAATATCTTTGCGTCACCTCCCAAAGCCTTCTGACCACAAAGAAACTACCTCTAAAGGTGTGTAGAATCACAGATTAGTTTAGGTTGGAAAAGACCTTTAAGATCATCAAGTCCAACTGCAAATCTAACACTGCCAAGTCCACCACTAAACCATGTCCTTAAGTGTCACATCTACATGCCTTTTAAATACCTTCAGGGATGCTACAGTAAAATAAATCACCCCAGAGCAGGCCAACTACACTCTGTAATTTGCTTAGCCATTGCACATTAGACACCCTCTTAATAATGCTGCATCTGGCCATCCTCCCCCTTCCCTTCCCTGGTGTTTGCCTTTGAATGTGACATGACTGGCCCAGGGGCCTTACGCTGCCCCGGCAGCCCTGGCCAGCTCTCCTGGCTCTGCTGGAGCTCTGGTGTGCAGCCACTGTCCCGCACACATCAGTGGGAAGCCCTTATACATCAGCAGGGGGTGTGATAGTCACATATGCACTTCAGGGCAGAGCCATCCTGTTTCACCATGTGCAACCCCTCAACAGTCCAAGTGCCCTCTCTGGAGAGGCAGTGGCCTCTGGAGGCTTATCATAAAGAATGCGATAAGCACTTCTGCAATGCCACTGAGAGAAGAGAGTCTCCTGTATGGTCTAACCACGACCAGACAGATGGGCAGGTGTGTGAAACAACAAGCCTGAACCTGGCATGAAGGAGAGATCTGCCACTGGAGAGAGCTCTGGCAATGGTTGTGTTTTCTCAAAACTCTAATTGGAAGAACAAGAAAACATTTCAGTTTGCTCTGAACCAAAAATGTGATTCTTGGGGTTATTTCCCTTCCAAAACAACCAAACAAACCCCCATCAAATTTCATCCCATGTTGCAAAACACTGCCTTTGCCCTGAAAAGTTCAATTTTCAAATACTTATAAGAAAAGCAAAGGCTGGAAAGAACAAAACAAACCCACATTGCATCCCTGGCACTCCTTCGGACCATCAGACCCCCGAGGTGAGGGTGTTGTCTGTGTGCCTCCTCCCTCTGCCAGGGGACTCAAACTGTATGATCACCCCAGTATGACAGCGCTCTCACAAGCTGCCACTGAAGCTTTCCCCATCTGTATAAACAGACTTTTCTTGAAAGCAGGACTATGGACCTCGGGTGTCCCATCTGCAAGTTTCTTAATGTCCAGGCTGTCCTCTCCTCACCTGGACAGGGTCCCCTCAGCACTTCACCACTACCGAGAGCAGGCTGGTGGTAGCATCCTGCTGGTCACAAGCCACAACTTTCTCCCCTTGCTCAGGCCATACCAGCCCCACACAATGTTCTCGTTCTAACCCCAGACCTGCAGCACCATGCTCAGCATATGGTGTGACCCAAAGTACATGAAGATGCTAGAGGCAAATGTCCCAGTGCCATTATTTGTTTCCTCTTCCTGCAACAGCCCTAGCTCCAGGCAATCAACAGTCCCCAGTCCCTGTTGTCCCAGCAGAACCTTTGTACTTTTTTAACAGGTGGAAAACAATGCTAGCAAAGCCATCAGATGACATGGTGACCAGGCTCTGTGTGCCTGAATTGCCATGCCCTGTGTTGGGGTAGCTGCCACAGGAGCACGGGGTGGCTGGCATTTGCTTGCCATGTGGTGACTCTTCCAAGAGACACACAGGAGCAGGGACCTGGGGAAAATCCACCAGGACAGCAGTCAGTCTTCACAAACTTCAGTGGTCAAATGGATGAATACAAACAAGTGACAGCAATGTGATACCTCAGGGCACGATCACACAGTCACCAGTTCTGGCACCGGGATCAGACTGCTATCTTCCCTCTCCCTTCCCCATCGTTTCTGCTTCTATGAAAGCAATGAAGGTCCTCAAGCGTATGGTATTAATTTTAAGTACTTTTTGAGGAATCCCTTTAAAGGGAGTTTAACTGAGACAGAGGTGAAACAACACACATCTTTGAAGGATTTCATTTTGCATTCACCACAAATCTACCTGTTTTCAAGAGCACATCATACTCTTGAAGTGGCTTCTCATGGCTCTTCTCTGGGAAAACGGTTGTCCCACAATATAACTTCAGGAACTAAAACTTCTAAGACTGGCAAAGACTGTCCCTTACTCTGACACGAACATCCCTGGGGAGGAATTAGCCTCTCTAATGTCTGTTCAATTGCCAGTCCCCAGCTACACTAAGGCAAATCATGTTTGATATGGTAGCATTTGCCTCAGAACACCTCTAAATGCTTCCCCAGGGATAAAAAAAAGTACACAGGAGGGAAAACAATTCAAAGAAAAACCAGAAATTCTGGGAAGCCTGCGTGCAATATCAGACCTATGACTTGTCCTTGAAACCAGATAAGAATGACTTAATCAAAAGCCATACCTTTCCTCCAACACCTTAACATTGGTCAAAACCTTGGGAGGGTGAGGGCAGAACAACAGTATCCATGTTGTCTACCACAGCCCCTATATTGTGTTGTGGCTTGCCTTGTTTTATTTGCAAACAAGAAGACCACTAAGCTGCCTCAGTTAAATCACTGATTCCTTATGTCATTAAGCATCTTCCAAGTCAGGGAATATATTTTCCCTTTGTGTTTGTATACTCCTCTCTTGCACTTGCCTTCAAAAACAGTACAGGGCCTTTAAACACGTTCTTTCTAAGACTACACCCAGCTCTTGCTCACCACTCATCAAAGATATGGCCATTACATGTTCCAGTGCAATCTATAAGTAAATAAGGTATGTTGTTTCATGACTGTGATGTTGCTTGCATCATCAGACACTTTTTACTTCTATCTACTGTTTTATGTGGCCTGCTGTCTTTGCTTAAGAGGCATCAGAGAGAAGTCATTGACCTAAAGAGCCTGATGTTGGGAAGAGAATTACCTTCTGGCAAGAAGGCAGTAATAAGGCATGCAATTCCTGCCACAATGCTGCTTATTGCAAAGGGAAGGCGCCGGCCAATGTGATCAATTGTCACTAAAATTAAGAGAGCAGCAGGCAGCTCCACAGCTCCTGAGATGAAGAAGTCTAGGTAGAGGTTTCCTCCAACAATTCCTAGGCGCATGACAAGCCCTTGGTAGATCAGCGCACTTGCGAACCTAAACGACAAAGGGAAAAAAATGTTGAGAGGCAAACAAATGACTGCAAGCAGCTATAAAGACCCTAAAAGTCACAAGGCAATTTTTCTTCAAAACTTGCCACCCTGGTAACAAGCTGTACTGACATGGGCACTCACCAAGCATACATCAGGATAAGCGTGTTCCTCCTCATCTGCGGAGTCCTCACCAGGTCAAGAAAGGAGGGGTTGCTGACCTCCTCATTGCTAATAGTGATCTGAGGAGAAAAACAAGCAGCAGTCAGCTGTCGGGGGTCAGGCAGGCACTGGGGCAGAGTTTCTATGTAAACAGAGTGCTCAGCAATATTCCAGTTCAGCGAGAAAAAGCGCTGACGAGCCAACTCACTGCTTTTAGAATTCCAGAGCCATGCACAGATATGGGAAATAGCTTATAACTGGCACACTGTGGGCTGTCCTTAATCATGATTGTGCAAAAATCGAAAACAAAAAAAAAAAAAAAAAAAATCCTCAATCTTGACTTGAGAGTGGAAAAATTATTTCCGCATTGTCAACTGAGAGAGGCTGACCTGAAATTTCTTGGAAGGCAGTAAGAGGTCATTGTCACATCCAGGTCACTGGGAGCAGAGCTGTCTTCTGCCCGACGTGACAGAGAGGAGGAGGCCATGGCAGGAAGGGTAAAGCGATGGGATAAGGGAAGCAGGGACAGAGGGTGTGAGCAGCAAGCAACGGGCTTGGGAACATAGCTGGTGGCACAGCTAGGCAGCAGGAAGAAAAGAGGAATGAGAGAAAGAGCAGATCTGTGAAGGCACTTTGCGTGCTACAAAACATCCAACTGGTAAAATTCAGAGGGTCTTCAAATACGCAACCACTGTGCTGAATGTGGATTTTACCCTGGAGGAAAAAAATCCTGCAAAATATTAATTAATGGTCCTCATATACAACGTATAGTAAATGTGTTCAGTTTCCTCTGATAGAGTCACAATGAGGCACTGGGTGAAATCTTTAGTTAGAAGGTTTAACAATAACAGAAAAGGGCAGGATTTCACACAGTCTGTGTTTATACTTTGGAGTTCATCGACATAGGATGTTGTGGAGCCAGAATATTAGCAGGGCCAAAAAGGTATTAGGGACACTGATGTTTTTAACTGTGGCCAGCAGTTTTTAACCATGATGTCCACCAAGCCAGGTGGCAGACATTTTGTTTGTATGTTTATTTGGCAAGTGAAGAAGACAAGGAAGAGAAGGCAGAGGTAGTTTTAGGCAGGGACAAACCAGGAGACTGCCCAAGAACTGACGGCCACATCTGGGATTGCCATCATCACTCAAAGCAGCTGTGGGAAACATGGGGTTAAACCTCCTGTGTCCTTTGTAAGAGGATTTCAGGCAGCCTGGCTGCCTTGACACTCAGTTATTGCTCCCCTTCTGAGAGGAGGCCTCAAAAAGCAAAAAGAGGAGCAAAGCACTCTACCACCACAGCACCCTCTGCCCACACAGGCACAGGAGCCCAGGGAAACAACTGTGGGCAGTGGGGAGACACAGGTGAAAGGATGGAGAAGCACATGAGAACATGCAGATCCATGACGAGAACGTGGGTAAAGCCAAAGGCATTGCCTGAGGGTCTCGTCAGCTCAGCCAGGGCTATACCAAATGCTTTCACCCTGTATTTATTTTGCTTTTCTTCTGTAACCAGAGCCAGAAGTTTTCTTCAAATCATTGCCACTTATGTTGCATGCCAGAGCCCTTTGTGGAGCAGGTGGAGGTTGATGGGTTTCTGCAGTGATCTTGGACTTTCTCATATTATGGTCATAAAGCTGCCATGAGTGTGTTTATAAGATCAGGCTGCCAGCCATCAGTTGTGACTTTGTGCAAATATGGTTTTAGTTTTCCAAAGGACTAAAGATAAATTCAGCACAGCTGCTGCCATATATTTCCATGTCTTAATAAAGTCATAATAACCCCAAGCATGACTGAGCATTTTTTTACAGATGAAGAAAAGATCACTGTGGAAAGTCAAGTCTGTGTAGGGAAAAAAAAAATCCTCTTTTTGTTCTTTGAAGTCAATGACAGCTTTGCTATTCACACCAGTGCAGTCAGGAATTCAATGACAGGGTCCATGTTTCCAAAGATACACTATCTGAAAACTCTGAATGAAGTTTTGTAACCACCTTCCCTGACATGTTTATGTCCCAGCAAAATTACATATCAGTTTTTATGCAATAATTTTTAAAGATTCCTCATAACACAGACCTATCTTTATGCACAAGTTTAATTCTGCACAGGACAGTACATCCATGTACATTTATAATACATATGTATGTAATTTAATATATACTAGAAATATATATGTCTAGATATGTCTATATAGTAGAAAAAAAAAATATATATATACAACTCTCTCAAGAAGCAGCTGTAACTCAGCTGGTTGCAGTCTATTCTACCTTTGGACACAGACCAAGAATTTTAAAATTATCTTGAAAAGAAAACATGCTAGGATAATTATGAGCAACTGGGGGAAAAGAGTTTGTAATTTGCAATTAATTTAACGAGCTCTGTATGGAGTTGAAGTATACCAGTGTTGCAATTCACAGACCAGAAGAAGCAAATGTTTATCTGTTTTCATGCAAAGGTCATCTGTGGTTTCTGCATGTCAATAAAAATGCAAGACTGCTATATCCAGAGCTATGCAGACAACTAGGCTAAAGAGATTGCTGCAGATGTATTGGAAAATCTTACCCAAAATGCACTGATGGATAATGCCTCTAACTACTCCTTGTCCCTCCACACCTGAAGCACTTTGCTTGAAATTCTGGAGTTGCTTTGTGAAAGAGAAGTCTGACATGAGTAAATGTGAGAAATACACTTGATCCACAACTAACATGCTTCCTGGAGATGTTCTATTTCCTCTGGGCAGAGCACCAAGGATGACACACATTGTGTACTAAAAAAGTCCCAGGAATAGTTCCAGCACAAATCTGGATGTGTGGAGGTTAATCTGCTGCAGCTGTGAGTGGCTTAGGGTCATGAGCAGGGATGCTTCTGAAAAAAATTAAATATTACTTAAAACAAAAATCAGGGAAAGACACATCTCCATTCTGACATGACGCTTTGGAAGTGCTAATGTTTAGAGAGGGGAAGTGGGTGTAGCAATGCAGGGCTGAAGGTGGAGGGGGAACTGGAGCAACACAAGCTTCCCACTGCATGTCTTGGGCCAAACTTGGCACTGGGTAATGTTGACCAGGACAGGGGAAATCCCACCGGTGTATATGACCCAACCAAGGACAAAAAATCATAGAATCACAGAATCATAGAACGGTTTGGGTTGGAAGCGACCTTAAAGATCATCTAGTTCCAAACCTCCTGTCACGTGCAGGTAGACCTTCTACTAGACCAGGTTTCTCAAAGCCCCATCCAACCTGGCCTTGAACACTTCCAGGGAGGGGGCAGCCACAGCTGCTCTGGGCAACCTGTGCCAGTGCCTCACCATCCTCACAGTGAGGAATTTCTTCTTAGTATCTAATCTAAATCTGCCCTCTTTCAGTTTAAAGCCGTTATCCCTTGTCCTATCACTACACGCCCTTGTAAATATTCCCTCTCCAGCTTTCCTGCAGGCCCCTTTTAAGTACTGGAAGACAGCTATGAGGTCTACCCAGAGACTTCTCCAGCCTGAGAAACCTCAATGCTCTCAGCACGTCTTCATAGGAGAGGTGCTCCAGACCTCTGACAATCTTCATGGCCTCCTCTGGACTCGCTTGAGCAGGTCCATGTCCTTCTTATGTTGGGGGCCCCAGAGCTGGACACAGTACTCCAGGTGGTGTCTCACAAGAGCAGAGAAGGTGGGGAGAATCGCCTCCCTCAACCTGCTGGCCACACTTCTCTTGATGCAGCCCAGGATACAGTTGGCTTTCTGGGCTACTAGTGCACATTGCTGGGTCATGCTGAGTTTCTTGTGAACCAACACCCCCAGGTACTTCTCCTCAGGGACACTCTCAAGCCATTTTCCACCTAGCCTGTATTTTTGCTTGGGATTTCCCCAACCCATATACAGAAATTTGCACTTGGCCTTCTTGAACTTCATGAGGTTTGCATGGGCTCACTTCTCAAGCCTGTCAAGGTGCCTCTGGATGGCATCCCTTCCCTCCAGCATGTTGACCACACCACACAGTTTGCTGTTGGCAAACTTGCTGGGGGTGCACTCAGTCCCACTGCCCAGGTCACCGACAAAGATGTTAGACAGTCTTGGTCCCAACACTGACCAATGAGGAACACCACTCATCACTGCTCTCCACTGGGACATCAAGTCGTTGACCACAACTCTTTTAGTGTGACCATCCAACCAATTCCTTATCCACTAAGTGGTTCATCTGTGAAATCCATGTCTCTCTAATTCAGAGACAATGATGTCATGGGGGACAGTGTCAAATGCTTTGCACAAGTCCAGGTAGATGATGCCAGTTGCTCTTCCTTTACACATCAATGCTGTAACCCCATCGTAGACAGCCACCAAATTCATTAGGCATGATTTGCCCTTAGTGAAGCTATGCTGACTACCACAAATCACCACCTTATTCTCCATATGCCTTGGCATAGTTTCTGGGAGGATCTGCTCCACTATCTTGCCAGGCATAAAGGTGAGACTGTCTGGCCTGTAGTACCCTGAGTCTTCCCTTTTTCCCTTTTTAAAAATGGGGCTTAAGTTTCCCCTTTTCGAGGCAATGGGAACTTTACTGGACTGACACAATTTCTCAAATATAATGGATAGTGGTTTACAATTTCATCCACCAGTTCCCTCAGGACCTGCAGATGCATCTCGTCAGTTTCCATGCAGTTGTGCACCTTCAGGTTCCTCTCAAACCTGATCTTCTCCTTCAGTGGGCAGTTCTTCATTCTCTCAGTCCCCACCTTTGCCTTCTGTGACTTGAGCAGTGTGGCTGGAGCCCTTGCCAGTAAAGTCTGAGGCAAAAAAGTATTTGAATACCTCAGCCTTCTCCATATCCTGGATAATCAGGTCTCCCTTTTCCTTCTAGAGAGGGCCCACATTTTCCCTAGTCTTCCTTTTATCACTTATATACCTATAGCAGCTTTTCTTGTTGCCCTTGATGTTCCTGGACAGATTTAATTCTATCAGGGCTTTGGCTTTCCTAACCTGATCCCTGGCTGCTAGGACAATTTATTTGTATTCCGCTGTCCTTGCCTCCACCTTCTGTAGGTTTCCTTTTTGCGTTTGAGTTTGCCCAGAAACTCCTTGTTCATCCTGGCATTTTTGCGTGACTTTCTCTTTGTTGGGAAACATCGCTCCTGAGCTTGAAAGAGGTGATCCTTGAATACTAACCAGATTTCTTGGGCCCCTCTTGCCTCTAGGGTTTTATCCCACGTTACTCTGCCGAGCAGATCCCTGAAGAAGCCAACGTCTGCTTTCTTGAAGTTAAGGGTACTGAGCTTGCTGTGCACCCTCTTTGCTGCCCTAAGGATCTTGAACTCCATTGTTTCATGGTCACTGCAGACAAGGCTGCCCTTGAGCTTCACATCTGCTGCCAGCCCCTCGTTGGTGAGAACAAGGTCCAGCCTAGCACCCCTCCCTGTTGGATCCTCTATTACTTGAAGAAGGAAGTTATCATTAATGCATTCCAGAAACCTCCAGGATAGCTTATGCCCTGCTGAGTTGTCCCTCCAACAGATATCAGGGTGATTGAAGTTCCCCATGAGGACCAGGGCTTGTGAACATGAGGCTATTCCTATCTGCCTATAGAGGGCCTCATCCGATTGGTCTTCCTGGTTGGGTGGCATCAGCAGACACCCACTATAATGTCACCTGTCCTGTTTTCCCTCTAATTCTCACCCATAAGCTCTCAGTCAGCTCCTCATCCATCCCCAGGCAGAGCTCCATGCACTCCAACTGGTCATTGACATCAATGGATTTACCCTTTTCTCTCTCCTTAGTCAGTCTTTTCAGTTTGTTCTCTCCCACCAGTTTCAGTCTGCAGTCCTCCAGTTGCATAAGATGCTACTCCCAAGTGACTTGCAAAGCTCATTATGCATTGTGGGACAGCTGAGGGCAATTTCTTGACCTTGACTGGTATCACAGAGGTGCCTTGGCTTCCATCAGAAAAATGTTTCACTAATTGCTGGCCTAGCTTGTTCCTGCTCATGAAAACTCCTTCTGTCATGTTGCTTCACTAATGTACAACAGTCTCATCCAAAACTCTTTCCACTGACAAACCTCCCTCCCCATCATTAACCTTTGTGTGCTTCCCTGAGCAACAGAACATTCACAGAAATGCCATTATAGCAATGTTATGGCACTTGAACAAGTTGCTTATGAATAAAGCAGCTGGCTGGGGAACTGTATGTTTCAGCATACTCATCTCTGTTTATAGGTCTAGTTCTGACTTTACAAAATCATTATTCCACAGTCATATACCCTAAAAGGTATACTACAGGTTAGGGCCCAGCTTCTCTGTGGAACCTGTGTGAACTTTACCTTGCCAGAACTGTCATTAACATATACTTAATTAAATGGAAAGATAATGGAATATTGGTATAAATCAGCTAGCCATTTCCATACTCCTTCTGTTGCCACATACCTTCTCTTGTGTGCACTTTATGCAAGGTATTTATACGAGTAATGGTTCTGAATAAACAGAGCTGCTTAGGCTGGATGAATGATTTATGGAGCATGTTTCTCACCAGGTAAATAAAATCCTATGAATTTGGGAACGGCTATCTGGTGTTTCAGAAGACTGAAAATAATTACTCCTTGGATTTCATCCAGAATTATACTTTAGGATTTTGGTGAAGCAGCCTCACTTTTTTGGATAAGATGGGCTAAATTTTTGGGTTCTCCCTTGCTTAAGAAGAACAACGAGAAAGACCTAGGTAAGATACAATGCTATGGGAACCCACATCGTCAGTTTCCTGTTACAATGCACACACATCATGATGGTCCTTTCTGACAGGATGGGACACATCAGTCTCCTCCAAACACTGCCATCCCAATGAGTTTGCCTTTAGTCTCTGTGCAAATTTAGTTATGTCACACATGATAATTTTGTATATGTATAAAAACTAAGGTATATGCATATGCATGTATGTAGGCATAAAGGATACTACTGTGTACTGATAGACGCCTATTTTATGTAGGTCATTTCTTTTCAATAGGGAAATCACAATTTCTTTCTGAAATACTTGTAGTGTATTCAGCATGCCACCTCTGGGCTGCTGTGTGCTAACAATTTGCGGCTGTTTTCCTTAGTTCAGATAATGATTTCTAACATTAACGTTGACAGCATTTAGTCTCCAGACCTGGCTTGTTACAAAACAGGAACCTTGTCCACATCTGTTGTCCTCACTGAACCATAATGCCAATGCCACAGTAAACATGGTCTGAGAGCCAGGCATTGCTACCCAATGCAGAACAAGACAAATGCTGCAATGACCTGACAGTGTCATTTGAAATGCATCAATCTTTTCAGTTTCGTCAAGACCACTTATCAAAGGACTGTAATTCTAACATATAGTGTTCTATTTTGTAAATAATGACCTCAGACTGTGCTTCCTCTATTGTGAACTTTGGAGCATATTCTCTCTCTATTGGGATGGAAGAAATTTATACTTAAATTCTAATTTTCTACATCTTCTCTTTGAATTGTAAAAGGAAGTCCTAATGAAGGAGCCAGGAAAGTGGATCCTGCTGTCTCCACTCACTTTGTCAACTAAAATGGCAGCTGCTGTGAAATAGCACTGGTCCTCAGGCTAGATTCTGATATTTCTCATAAGTTTTTAAAGTAGGAGTGTTGCAGATAAAAGACCTGAATCATTATTTTGCAAGCTTCTTTTTTCAGCCCATGCCTTTCCAGCCAGTTCACTTTTATCCTCTTGCAATTATCAAAATAGGTATGGGACTGACAATCTTGTGCTGGTGTGACGCTTCTAGAGTATTGCCCATCACATAAAGAGAACACATGTTAATACAACTCAACCTTCAAAAGATTAAGAAAGTTTAGGAAAAAACCCGTAGCTCAAACAGATGACAGACAGTACCTCTGAGTAATGTGGTGAGAGATATTTCCCATTGTGTTTTGCAATGTTGTGCATGATTTTTAATGCCTTGTCTCCCTTTTTGCGTGTCAGGAGCCAACGTGGAGATTCAGGAACCACCCTGTAAGAATGCAGAAGTCATAAACAGGGGTTTTGTGCTTTAACAACATAGATAAACCAAGGTCCTTTGCTTTTTGCCTGTGTTAATACACAACACACTGATTCTTCAGTCTTTGGGATACAGAAACTCTTCTGTGGACTGCTTTTCCAGTCAGTCTCCTGTAAAATATCTTATCCTTGTGGGCAAGAAAGAAGAAAATAGACTATAACAGTACTCTGCAAAGCTGAAAAATGAGAAATTTAACTACTGTATTTGCACAATGGATGTCAAAATTATGATAACCAACAAGTGAAAGAGGTACCTGTAGAACAGCAAGGAACAATGAAAGTCAACATTAAACACATGTAGTACCAAGTAAAGGCAGAGAAGGAAACTTCCAGCTGTATCATTATAAGATAGAAGCACACACACTCAAATGTGTACATATTTTATAAAATGAACACAAAGCTCTACAACTGATTGGTGTTTCAGTTTCTGCTAGCCTAGGATTCCGATGATTCACAGTTTAAAAGTTCACAACAGGCAATGTTTAAGGAAGCAGTGTGCGGGAAGAGTGTATGGGGATTAGTTTCTTTGGGTCCAGCCCACAGGACAGTTGCACCCCACTGGGACAGATGTTCACCACAGCATAGTGCTCCACTCTCTCATTAGCTGTACTGCCCAACTCATGGGACCTGTAGGGCAAGTTCAGGCTTGAACTGAGTACATAATTAAAGGTAAAGGTGGGGTCCCATGGCTTATGGGAAAAGAAGACTTTGGTCAAGTTAACCAGATAAACAACCCTGGGCTAAGCAGGAGCAGAGCAGGGTTCTATGAAGGGCCAGCTGTGGCTGATGAGAGAGACAAATCCTGGACAGAAAAAGGAAAGTAATGTATCTCTGTGACTCACTAAAAAGAATTAAACATGCCAGAACCAACAATATGTAAATATCTTCTACTTAATATACAATATCTTGCACACTGAAGACTTGGGACCACAGCAGGTGCTCGAATAGCAATAGCAATAGCAAAAATGACAAGAGAAATGACTGCAACATTACCAGTAGTAGAGCAGAAAGAGGAAGTTAGGCAGTGAAATGGCCAGCTGGATCCCCTGCCAGGTGGGAACCAAGTATGCAATTCCAGGCAGAATCATAATTCCCAGGGTGAAGAATATCTGAATCACAATCCCAACAATCCGCTGGTCAGAACCAACGATCTCCGTCACTGAGCAGAGAGAAAGCCAAAATAAACAACACAGAAACAAACCTAACTCAAAAGAAAAATATTAGTGGTGGCACATAAAGAAGGATAATACTGTATCAGGTCACAAGTCTGTCTAGCCCAGCATCTTGCCTTCATCTGTACAAGACTGAGCTGTGTGGACTGAGACCATCCAGGGCAAGCACGGGTGACACCTCCTCATCAATTCACCTATCATTCTTCAACTAGAGGTTTTTCTGACTACATGTTTACTAATGAAATAAATAGGGCCGAACCAGGGATTTGAGACTAGTCATAAATTGTCAGCACTCTCCCTAGAACAATTCTGGCCTGTGCCCCAGACTAGATGATCCTCTGTGTAGGAGATATTCCCAGCAGGTAATATGGACACGGTGTCTGTGGGGAGGAGAGTTTAACCATGTCATGCTGGTTGTTCTGAGGGCTAAGGCATGGTCCACGGTTTGTTTTATTTACTAGAACAAGCATAGCATTTGTTGGGGTTTTTTAATCCTTCAGTGGATTTTTTGTTTTGTGAATGTGTCTAATCGCTTCTGAAACACATGTAATCCCATATTTTTGGCAATATCTCATGGCCATGAGATCCATGTTTGAGATGAGCAATTCATGAAGAAGTGTCTCTTGTTTATTTCAAAACTGTCACCACTACCTAACCTTTAGAGCAAAATCAGAGCGTTTTACCTTGGTTTATAATACACAGAAAATATTTTTTTTCTTCTACTAAAAGAGACACAATTTTACAAGTAACAGTGATTCATTTCAACTGGCAATTCAGTGAAATATGACAACATTACTATTTTTATTAACTATTTATCATGTCTGCATGGCTCAGGGGCAACTCTATTGCCTAAATGTAGCTGCTGCTCAGCATTGACCCAGGAATAGCTGGGCTGTATGTAAAAGCAAAGAGATGTTCTTGAGGCAGTCTGTTGCAGTTCTGAAGAACAGATCAGTAGCTTGGAAGATGTATTAATGGCAACTGTCCTCCTTGTGCAACCAAACCAATGATCTGTATATGTTTCTTAAAAGACGTTAGGTTGTTAAATACTCTGGGTGATGGTAGGACATAAGAGTAGATCCCTGAAAGCATTTAGATAAAATCACTCTGTCCAAGAATTAAGAACCTTTCTTAGGGCTGTGGTAATAAAGTCCCTCAGGATGCAGTATCTATGAACCTTTCCCTAAAGTCAGGCAGTCTAATCCGAATATTGCAAAACATTCCTTTCTGTTAAAACTTGGTCATTTTAAGGAAGCCATGGGTCTGTCATAAAACATGTTGCTGGTTAGAGCACTTGGCAAAATTTTAGGATAAGATCACAATTTAAAATTAAGCCATGTTCTTGGAAGTGAAGGGAAAAGCAACTTCTGGCCCTTTCACTGGATCTTGGACCTGAGCTGCTTATCAATGTAACTTTGCCCAGTAAACTGAAGTACTTCCGAGCTTTAGATGCTGGGAGGGCTAGACAGGTATGTTTGTGCATACGTCACCACAGTGTTCCCAGGTGTCACTGTAACTGTTTACATCTGTTTGCAATTCTGCTCTCACTCATCTAAATTTCACCAGGAATTTTAAAAAATTGTCACAGGCCTCCAAGACTACAGTGATGGCACAAATTTTTGCACTATATAATGATCTCATCACGGTGTTTTGGATTATCATGGTAGATATTTGAATAGGTGATTTTATTTTTAAGCAAATCTAGTAGGATCCTTTCATCAATGTCTTGCTATTTCATGTTCTAGAGAGGAGTTTCCCTTTCTGAACCTGGCAGTTATTCAAGATGTCACAACAATACCCTTCTCTCATTAAAAGTAAGCTTGCGATGTGAAGAGCTTCATTGCTGGGCCATGACAATATCCTATCAAAGAGTCTGGATCCCTGCTGGTTTGATGCTATTTAAAAAAGATCTTCCCTTCCTTTTCCCTTTTCGGGAAATAATAATCCTAATATGCACTCTGGTGCCCAACCTGGCACTAAGCAAAGTTTCCCAGCTAAAGAATGAAGATCAGTCATCCAAGTGTCTGTCCTCCCAGTGAGGAAAAGCAGTTAACTTCTCTGGGCATCTGTGAAAGATGTTCAGATTCTGCCAAAACTAACCATGTCCCTCTTTGTGTATCTAGTTTATTTGGGGCTTGCTCCGTAGTTTGTGATCATCTTGATGATCTTTTATGAAATAAGAAAACCTTTATATAGATACATTCTACTCTTCTACCTCTTAATGATTTATGGTAATCTCAGCCATAAAATTCCTCAAATAACATCAACAGAAAGTGTTGCATTGATGCTGAATTGCCTACAGCCAGCTGCACACAGGCATATTCAAGTACCACAGTGATGGGTAGAAAAGGAGAGCTTGGACAGTTTTGAAGGACACATCGCTCTTGTTAGTCTGCTCTCATGCATTACTTCTTCCTTGCTCTTCTCCACAGGATCCTATGAGGTCAGGCAGGCATGTGCACTTCTGCTCATTTCCATCCTATATCAGTACTGAATATCAGAAAGAGTTTGAACTTGCTGCCATTCTGAGAGGCCACCTCTGTAACCAGTAAATTAGCAGACACTGAAGGGTAAGGAATCACTATCCTGTTTAGCCACTGGAAAGGTCCCTAGCATGATCTTGATAAAGACCAGTGACTGCTTCTCCAAAATTCCGTTCAAGCATAAGCCCAGACCACGGATGATGCCAAGTTACAATTCGCATGCAGGCACCTTGTCTTGGAGGACAAATGCATTAACTAGGATCTACGTGGGTTATTCATTGTCTGCTGACCCCAGGGCAAGTGCTTTGTTCAAAGAAAAAATATTATCAAGAGCAGATGTAGCCAGACTCCTTGTCCTCCAAAAATCCCTCACTTTTCCTAACCAGAAAAGAAAGAAGATAACAGCTCTCACCGATCACGTAGCATGTCATCCATGTTCCCTTGCCAAACACGCCTTGGAGAAAACGGAAGATCAAAAATACAGTAAAGTTTGGTGCGAATGACACTATAACACCACATATCCCAACCCCAAGACAGGAGAGCAAGTAGATGAGGATTCTGCCATATCTGTTGAAAAGGGAAAAGAAAGTGAAAATCATTAAAAGACACAAATAGGTTTGGTTTTTTTTTTTGCCTGGGATCTCATTTGAATGCTAGGTCTGAAAGTGTTTTTTTGAGACTGGTCTTTCTCCAAATGGAGGCTGCTTGAAACTTTGTAGTGTTGGCCCTTGGGATATGGGACTCTTTTCCCCGTGGAAGTTATCACTGCCTTTATGGCACTAATTTTAGAACTGGTGATGTCCTCACCAGGCTCCATTTTATTTTAGAAAACAGTTTGTCTTTTTGTGTCTAAACTATGGCTCATATGTTACAGTTTAGAATTTTGATCCAGTTGAAATGAGGGCAACCTTTGTTGGGGATTTCTCTTTTCACAAATTAGTCTCCTAATAGTAATTGCAGCCAGCTTTGTGAAAGTAAGTAATTTCTTCTTTAATTAGTTTATGCGATTTTGTAGTGGTTTTTTAGGTTTAGACCACTTGTTTTCAAAGTCTGCCTAACATATTAATGAGTCTCATTTTCCAGCAAAAAACGTCATTATTAATAAGTGTGCGCAAGTTAAGCCATAACTAAAAAAAAAAAAAAAAAAAGCAACAAAACCTCCCTGTAGTTTCACAGCAGCTGTGCCCTTGGAACACAACTAGAATTTCCATTTTGATCTCTCGTCCATTGTTATTGTTGCTGTTTTAAGAAGAAGAAACTGTGAAAAATGATGTAGCTGTTTTTCTTACCAAAAAGTATTTGAGTGAAAATGTGTTTGTTCATTTTGTTCAAAAGTTTTCATGAGAAGAATTTATACAGGATGAAAATCAGGGTACTTTCAACCAGGTTCATTCTTTTCAGTGTTGTCAAGGAGACAAGAGTCTAGTGGTCTGACTGCATCATATTCCCCCAGTACTATCAATGTACAACATTCGTAGTTGTACAGTAGTTATATTATGCTTAATACACAAGTACTCCTAGATATATTATTTTATTTCAATAATTAGCTGTAATATCTCTACTCTTACACAGTCTTTAGGTGCTAGTATCACAACTGCCCAGCCAGACACTGAGCAGCAATATCTTAAGTTAGCCAGTGCCATAGCATCTTTTCCACCTTACTTTTTCCCTTATTACTATATCCCTTGGAAAGTTGAGGTTTTCCTTGAAAGTACTTTTGTTTGCTAGTTCAACATTTGTTATCTGAGATGACATTCCAGATAATTCTGTAAGTATTTCTGTCTACAAAGAAATAATATTTTAAGTTATTATTATCATTATCATTATTACAGAAACAAAAGAAAAATATAAGAGGCAGAAATAATTTTATAAACTGAAGAAATATGGTTTGCCATTGAAATCGGTGGTGCTCTCTATGGGTTGACTACTATTAGTTATCAGCACAAAGAAGAAGCCAGGCTCCCTCCTTCACTCTAAGAGCAAAGTAGAGCTAATGGGAGCTCTCCACTCCAGGGCAGGTCAGCTGTTTAAGCCTGAATATGACCCACATTTTTTCCTTCTTATTCATCCAGCCCTAACAGAGTTGAGGACCAACTTGATGGATCTATGACCTTGGTGGTAAGCATGTGAGTCCAGCCTGTGAATGGAGAGAGTTACCATACTGACTTCCTTCCTTCTTTCCTCAAGTAGCTGTTTTCTTCATCAGTGGTGCCTATTAAACATCCCCCAGTAAACACCAGTCCAGAAAACTCCTCTGAATGCTTTCTTTTCATTTCTGTGTCCTTCTATCCTTCCTGGGTCCAGATGTGCACAGAAAACATCAGAAACAGCAAGAAAAGCTCTTTTCATGACATTTTAAAGTCCAAACAGGATCAGTAAGTACGTTTGTGTGAAGTTTCCAGCCCAAAAGGAAGCAAAGATTATATTGGGTGAGTTTTGTTAACCCAGGCTGGGGATGTTTATCCAAAGTGAATTAAATCTCCAAAGTGTTGACACATGCTTATTGCAGGTGACATTACAAATTATTTCACCTCCAAACAAACCAAAGGACAGCAGTGCTTATACAGTACCTGTCTGCAGCGTAGCCCAGGGTGAACGCACCAGCCAGAAACCCCAGATTGAGGACAGCCTGTGAGAGATCCAGCATCCAGGCATTGCCGCACACAAGGTTATACTGCGGGAACAAGGGAGAGGCATAAGCACCTCCACTGGGTCATTCATCATCCTCAGGGCAGAACATTATAAAAACTGCACAGGGACAGGCTGGAAGGGGAAGAAGCAGGAAAAGGGGGAAAGGAAGGGAAAGTTCAAATATGCTTGTTCACCAGCAAGCACCAGTGGGCCAGGGAAACGCAGCCATAGCAAACACTCCTCAAGCTATCATGAAGATCGAAGGAGAGTTCCTTGCCAAAAGGATGCCTTGTTTCATACATCAGTTGTCCAGAAATGGAAAGCAAATTGCTCTTTTGCAAACCAAACACAACGCTGTTAAACATGTTGCCAAGGCAAAGCCATGACTTTGTTTAGTGCAGAATAAGGGTGCACAGCTCTAGCCAATTAAAACATCAGCTTATAGAAATGGTTTAATTATTTTTCTTAGTGCCTTCTAGATAAAAGCAAAAACATGTAGTCTCTGAGGAAACTGAAAACAGATCTCATCAATTTCAGACACATTGGATACATATTTTCTTGGTGTAGCTTTCCCAGACTTTTCCATTCCTCACACTACATTAGCCATAACTCCCTAACATACGATGTTACATTGGTGCATATCTGAAGAATTCATTAACAGGGATGGGGTTGAGTGGGGGTGGAGGGAAGAGAGAAGTGGAAGAGACAAAAGAATACAACATAACTAGTAATTAAAACTAAAATGAAACTAAAAATAAGCAGTTATCCAGACAGCATATCATTGGAAATTACTTTAGATGTTCTTAGAGAATAAAGAAATACTAACAGCTGCCTGCCAAGTTCTGCACACCTTATAGGAGTCAGGAGGTTTCAATCCATACCTGGGAGAACCTTAAGAACAACGTGACTTCAGGACCAAGGGAAGCTACAGAACAGCAGCTGCCACCATTTAACCTAGAGACACCCTTTTGCCTTCAGGCATGAGCTGCAACGAATCTTTTCAGCGATAACGAGGTGCTGGTTGCTGAAGGGCACACACTGTGTCACATTTGTGCTCACCAGCTGTACCACAATAGCCGTGCTCAAACACTGTGCTTGGACAGGGTGTCCACAGGGTGGGTTAGAGAGATTAACAGCCTCTTCTGCCACTCACAGTTCTCCAGACTTTGAAATTTAGTGCTGCAAACCTGAGCTCCATCTTAGTCCATTTGTATGCTGTAATACCCAGCAAGTATTTCCTGGGCCTGGGATTTCAGAGGTGCCTACACAGGACATACAGAGGGCACCCAGACTTGGATTTCACTGAGCCTGAATCTGGATGCAGAAATCTAAAGTAATACTCTTAAAGGTTTATTTATGTACCTAAATAAGAAACCATTTATTTTAATATTCTGAACTCCACACAGGTGCCATTCACACTCATTTCTATGAGCTATTCTTCACTTTTTAAAATTGAAGATGGTTAAATGTTAAAAATGGTTCCAAATGTACTATTAGCACTGTCACTGGTAATGACTGCAGTAGAATCATTGTTAGGCATGATGATTTTACTGGAAGTCCAGGATTTGGGTTTGTTTGAAGCTTTTTGTTTTTCTGGAAGCAGTAGGTCTGGGAATTTTGTGACTGAGAACTGCAGTTTCCAGCTCCCACAACTGTGAAGAAGAACTTGGCTAGTAATATCATAGGTCCCCAACCTGATAGATATCCCATCCCCACTGACATTAAACAAAGCCATGGTTTTGATGTTTACTCTGGGGAGCCTGACTGGCAACCTTTCAGTCAAGCCAGATCATCAACATCTGGCTTCTATTTCTGTAAATCTTGCAAGAGCTGAAGAAAACTCAGCTTCCTCTGAGAAGAATAAAACCTGCTCTCAGCAGCCATACTCAAGGGCTATTGCAATGCTTCCCTAAAATAGCCTGAACATGAAGCAGCATTTTCAGACTTCAAACACTACTTAACCTCTTGTTTCTTGAAACTATGACAATCCTGGCAAATAGTATCAACATATGCAGGTTTAGAAAGCACAGTTTTTTCATGAGAATGACCATTAAAAGGAGATTTTAGAAGGCAATGCAATTGACTATGGTGATTTGGGCTGTCAGAAGAGCATCTGCAGCCACCTATACAGGGCAATACGGTTTATAAAACAGCTACAAGAAAGTATTGGCTTCAAAAGTGTGCCACTGAGGTGTAACAGAAAAGGAAATAATCACATGAAGAGATAGGCAGAGAGGGCAAGCAGGAAGAGTGACTTCACATGAGCTCAAGGAAATCTCTCAGACTTAACCAGAGCTGTACTCAGCTAGATACCTCACAGGACACGTCTGGTGCTGGTCCCCCAGCCAGGGTCCATGCTGGACATGCTGGCCCTGCCATGTATGCACCACAGGGACAGCTGCTGGCCTTGTATATGCATGGAGAAATATATACATTGGCTGGTTGGCAGGTCACTGTCACAGCTCCTCTGGCCAGCTTGGCCTGAATTTCAGGTGCAGGTGAGACATTCAGGTGCTGAATGTTGCTGCTCAGCTGAGCTTTTGCACCACGCAACAACTGCTCTCCCAGGACCTCAAAGAACAGCACAGTTCTTTCACTCTCCTTGCCTGTCTTGCTACATAGCTGCACTTTTCTCAATGGGTTTTTGGTCAGACCAGTGCCAGCCACATAGACCCCACGATCTGCTGTGTGGGTGACAGCTCTAGTGAGAGCTCAGAGCCCCATGCCCTGGGCTGTTTTACAAAATGCTCAGTTATTTCACACCATTTCCTACTGCTGGCTTCAGATCTGGCTGTAGTGCACTGGCTTTTCCCAGACATTTACAGTGATGGAGCGTGACAGAGGTCAGCTTCAACCTTCACCTGTGGTCCAGCTTTGAACACTGTTTAACACGAATCTTCATGCCACTGTTTTCTGCTTCCAGCAGACACCTGTGGAGTGACCCTGGAAGTGTCATTCTGCAGAGAGGCACAGGGAGCCCTCACACCTCTCTCTCTGTAGTCCCCAAGAATAACAGAGAGATCTGAGCCTGTGATCTGCAGAGTGAGTCATCTCCCAATGAAGGTTAAGATCACTCTGCACCTTATAAGCAGCTTGGCTTCTTGAAAGATCAAAACCCTGGAGAGAAATATCATGCTGATTGATAGATCAGCAGGGAGGGTTTCATACAGGAACAGGTTTAATAGCCTTTCATAGAATTGCCTGAGTCAGAAAACAAAACATCCTTCGACGCTTGCAATTGCTCCTGAAGAAGATGGTTATGAGTGAATACTCCTCCTCATAAGCCAAACAGCAGATGAGAGAATGGGGAAGAGAGTAAGAACATTATTGCCTCACCAGAAACAGCAATAAAATAGTGTGATAACAAAATTTATAAGTGCAGGTAATAACAAAGCCATTAAAGCAATGTCAAAATGAGATGATGCTTACACGTACATAAAAACCATAAATAAAAACATTGCAAATTGCTTAAAATCCACTCGCCCGTGGATTCAGCTGTCTATTTCAGAGACCAAGCCCCAGGTTTCTAACACCTACTAACGACACTGGGATTACAGCCCTCCCCAAACCAACACACCAGGTTTCCCAAGCCGCAGAAGGCTATCCTGGCAGCCCAAGCGATGACGAAGGGACTGCCGTCATCAGCAGAGCCCAGGGAGGAGAAGTGTTCTTCCCGCCCTGCCTCGGGACGGCGCTGGCCCAGCACCCTTGGTGCCCTGTGGAGCCACGGTCCCAGGAAGGGCACCTGCCCTTTGAGGAGCAGAGGGAAAGCTACAGAGCTACAAAGGTGGCTGAGGAGCTCAGCTTCCAGGGTGGTGGTGGGTGGCTGTGCCGGGCAGCGCTGGGGCCATGCCCTGGCGAGCAGGCAGCTGGCACAGAGCTGCCAGGAGGGACCAGCCCCAGCACCCACTGCAGGCACTGGCCTTCAGGGTTTAGAGTTTTGATCCTTTTTCAAGAGGTATATTTATTGTTTAAATAATTTGATCCCTCTTTACTGTAAACAGGCAGTGAATAAGCTATCATGAAAGGAGGCAGGAGAATGAACACATGCCAGAAAGAGAGGAAGAAAAATATCTTTACCAGAGAGAACTCTTTCATCTGAACAGCAATTTCATTTGATTTAGGCAGCAGCAAGAATTAGATCTTGGCTAACAATATAGTCAAATATTTTAAATACTCTGAGAAATAGGAAAATACAGAAAACTTCTAAGAGACTATGAACTCTTTCTGAAGAGATTAGTGACAATACTCTAACTGTACTCTCCTAAATTAGCCCTGTGCCTTGTTATTTTCTAAATATTTAAATAACTCCTGGTACAGATAAGCATTCTCAGACCTTTTCTGTTTGCTTGACGTAGCACCTAGCATTTAAGACATCACCCCACTAATGCCTTGCTTTTCGTTTGCAAACATAACCTTTAGAGGGGAATGTAACCTTTAAAAGAGAATTACACACCCTGCAGAGATCTTTTTTTGATCCAAGCTGCTTGTCAGACCCACATCACCACTTCAGCTGTGACCTGGTTTGGTAACACCTGACAGTTATCCCCATCTGCATCTGTTTACCCATGATTTCAGCCTGTCTCCAAGCTAGCCATCAGTCCCCCTATATGACACTCCCCCAAAACATCTCCCACTTCCCTTGCTAGCAGCCTCCAAAAAAGGGACCAGAATAGTGCCTCCTCTGTTTCTGAACAGTCATATGCCTGTCTATGCATGGGCTGATGTTTACACTCCAACCACACAGGTGGATGTGGTCCATGTTGTGAGGAGCTCACCAACCAGGAGCACTTCCATGCTAATAGCCAGTGGCTTCAAGGAGCAGAAGAGCTATACTTGTTAGTAACCATCTCTCACTGTCAGTAGTAGGAGATCCCATTCCCTGAAAGTACACATTCTTCTCATAATGTACCAAAAAAATCCCAGCATACGGTCTTTAAATGTCACAGACTACCTTCCTGTGATCCCATGTGGTTTCCAAAATTGGTAACATTGAGAATCAAAAACTCTAGTGCTGTCTATCTGTCTAGATCACAGCTGTCT